CCGAACATGACGCGGGTGCAATTTGCAAACGACCTGACGACAACTCCAAGATACACCCAATATCGTTCGCAAGTCGACGCAGTGGGCGGTCCCGCGACCTGCACATCGTGCGAAGTTAATCTCAAGATGGCCCAACATTGCTTCAAGAGGCCCTGACGAGGGGTCCGCGGCGACAAGGCGGCGCGCGCATTGCCTGGAGATGGTATCAAGTCGGCCCCACCACAGCAGGAGTCCGTGCAATCATGAACCCCAACTTGCGTCCAACCGATCCCAACGTGGCGGGATCCCTCCAGGGCCCGGGAATCTGGTTGACCATATTTGTAACTGGTGGGACTTTTATCTGGCTGAGTGAATTTGATAGTGCTAACAGGGACTAGGCTCGGCAGGATCCCGCCCGACTCAGGAAGGAAGGCTACCTTGCTAGGCTTCTACGGGGCAAGGGGCTCGGAAGGTTCACCGTTACTACCTTTTTTTGCCAACGCTTCACCCTCGAATAATCAACCTGGATGTCTTGCGGCGGGCCCAATCAAAAACAACCGATATCTCGGCGCAGCGTAATTCAAGCATGAATTAGCTGGGGCCTGAAGGGAGCGCTGAGGCAGGGGGGGCCGGAAGCGTTTGCCTACCGCCCGCAAGGTCCCGCCCTCGAGCACCCCATCCGTTACTACCGCTGGCTTCACCCGCCCTCGCGATGCTTCTGCCGTCGTCCGCGCGGCGAGCGCCGTCCGAAACTTCGAGAAACTTCCACTGGGCCGACTGTAGGCCGACGATAACGCGAGCTTGCGAGCCGGAGCCGAACATGATGGGCCTGTCTTCCACCATCACTACCATAAGTCGGAGGGGGAGGGGGTCCTCGTCCTCCTCCTCCTCCTCCTCCTCGTCCTCCTCCTCCTCCTCCTCTTCGTCCTCCTCCTCCTCGTCCTCCTCCTTCTTCCCCCCTCCAACTTATGGTGGCGGTGGTGGAAAACAGGCCCATCAGAACAGGCTCTGACCTGAATCTGCCACACAATCCCTCGCAGTGAGGGAAGCAAGGGCGACCATTGAACAAGCTCTTGAAAGATGGCTGGGCTGAAAGTACCAGCGCCAAATTCACAACGGACCTGCCCGGCAGCCTGGCAGTGGAGCGAAGGTTGTCGTCAAACTCCACAGAGGGCGCACGGTGCGGAACGCTCCGTACGCCAAAACGAAGAAGGGAGAGAGAGGGGTCCCAAGAGAAGATGAGGCAAGTGCGCAAGAAGGCATAGCTCAGCGGGCCTGGCGCGCATCCAACGTCTGCACGCTGGGTCCGTGCCCCACCTGCCTAGCAAAAATGATCAAGGGCGTCATGGACAAGTGATCCTTTAAGGACGTTTGCCTGCGAAAGCGGAACGGACGCTCGGAACACGCCGCGGGAACTGCAGGCACCGAAAAGGTGAACACTCCGTTCTCGGCTGTATCGAAGCGCAGGAGGAGTAGTCGGCTGACAATCCAGAGACCGAGGAATCGGACTTCCAGGGCCTCAAAGAAAACAGGACATATCGCGTATTAGTTCGAGGCTGCCCTGCGCTAGGCGCAAGCCTCCAGAGCAACATCGCGCCACTTGTTGCAAACGGCACGCGGCGCAACACCTGTTCCAATGCGTCTTCCAGTCAGCAACTACCACGCGTGGAGGCCCCAACAAACTCATCCTTTGAAACACAATCGGCGCTCGGCGCACGAGCCAACTGGTCGGGCAAAGAATCGCCCATCTGGCCAACTTGCTGCGCAAGCGGGGTCCTAAAGCCGGTGACACTCCAATCGTGGATTCGCCACGGATATCACCGCCGCCCTCATGAAATATGGAATCCTCCTGGGTCTGAAGCCTCCGGGGCTCATTGCCTGACGAATGCCCCCACCGTGCCTGTTGGCGGATGACCCCGCTCCTGCTGTCACCGGAAGGGGCCAGCCTGGAGCCCGCAACGGCCAGGAACTCTTGCACAGCGTGCCGCCGCGGCGGCCCCGGCGACACGCTGTGCCTTGCGAGCGGATAGCATGTCGCTCCGCTTCGTGGGCCGGGAGGCCGGGACGAGCTCGAGACCCTGACGTTGGGGGGCCGTGAAGTGGATAGCGTGTCGCGCCGCCATGTCCCACGCAGCGCGGCGAAGCGGGAGCACGGAGGCCTCCGAGGGCAGGAGGCGCGCCACGTCTACATTGCAGAGCGGGGGGGGGGGGGCTGGGAATGGGGCGCACAGAGACAGACTAGTACGTCAGGTCCTCCTTGGAAGCGCGCGTATGACCCGACCATATCGTATACCCATCTTGTAGTAGATCGTTTCCCGAGCGCTGTGGCCGGAAAGCGCCCGCCACGACGCATTTCCTAAACCATTTCTCGGTGCGCGCGTCGCCCCTGGGGGGGCGACGAACACATAGTATGAGTATGTTGGAGTAGCGCCAAGCGCAGGGGCATGCCATTACACATTGCCACGATTTGCGGCCGCCGCGATCGCCGCAACGACCTCCAACACCGACCCCGAGGTCTGGTTCGGGGTCGGCTTTCACGCAACGATCGCTCTCTCTGAGCGGGCCTCCCTCTCTGAGCATCGTTTGACCGTGTGGCCTGGGCCCCACTGGCCGATTTCCCTCCCTGGATGGGGATATAGGCTTCTCCCTTCTGGTTTCGAGGGGCCTATCCCCAACTGGGGCGGCGAGATGGTGGGGCTCAGATCCCACGGCCCGATTGGGATGCAGATCTGTTAAACGATACGGAAGACTGCAACATGTTCTTACCATGTTCAGGCGAAGACCGAACAATACTGCGAAACCAGAACACACTTTCAAAACCAAGGGTTTGCCGCGCCAAATCTTGTGCACGACGACCGTGTCGTCGTCCGCGTAGGCGTGCGTTTTGCTCTTCAGGGGATGCTGCTGCTGAGTGCGCGTAAACAGCAGGCCGGCGTACATCGCAGCCTTGGTAGTGGAATCCATTCGGGAATCCTCTTGCCATAGTGAACCCTGGAAACATTCAGCTCGGAATTGTCATATTGTCAGCGTTTTTCAAATTTCAAATGAACGACAGGACGGCGCTGCTTCCAAGGCAACTTGCAGAAACGGAAGAGGGACGTGCTTGTGAAGGATGATAAGGGAGGCGCCTCCCCGTTCCCTCCTCATCCGCTTTTCCCCTCGCGCCACTAAGGGATGAACATTCAAAGCGCAACGCGGCCCTGCCAATTTCTTCCCCTGACCATCCTGCGCTGTCTTGACCATGTCAGTGCTGATATCCTGGGTCTGCTTCAAGATGCTGTCAGGAACCTTTAGGAATAGCACCTGTGCGCGATCGCTTCGAGGGGGCTTGCGGGGCAGCAGGTATGTAAACCCGGACGATGAGATAGACGGTAGGGGTAATAACTCTGCGGTCGATGCGTTCGGGGCGTTCCAGACTTTTTCAGGGACCGCAACCCACGGGGCGCCCGTGCCACTGTCAAACCAATGCCACCAGATTCATACATCCGCATTCGCAAATATGATACTTGGACGTTGGCCCACATATTCATAGTCCGCCGTTTCCAGCTTCTCGGGACCCTCACCAGGCCCGAGACAGCCAGAAAACGACGCAGGACCAATTCGGTCCTAGGGAAAGGGCCTGTACTCCTGGCATCCCTCTCTTGAAAAAAGCCAGGCGTCGGATCTCTGGGTAGGCGTCGGGGACCCCGTGGGGGCCCCACCTGCAAATGGGTGTACGAGAAGCGCCCGAGGAGAACCGAAGCATGGGCTCTAAGGAGCCAAGAGCCCGAAAGGTTTCGTCAGGTAGCCTCCCATCCCACACTTCTCATTCAGCGTGCCTGTCAATCTTGGCGTCATTCGCAACCTCCTGCTGGTACTTCTCTTCCCTTCTCTGTGGGCAGGGCGATCGCTACACATCGACAAGTTCAGCATCGTTGTGCGTATACTCGACGTTGGTGCCACCGAGAACCAAATCGTTGCGCCTAACGGCATTTACGGCCCTGTCAACATTGTCACCGTCCTCTTCCGCAAACAAAGCTCGCCTCACACTGACGGCCTCCTCTCACTGCTGGGCAGCCAAGCGTGACACCCACCCCCGAAGGTCGGACGTCTGCAGCGCCAGCTGGGGTTCAGAATTCGAAGGATGTCTGCCGCCAAGTGAACCCCAGCAAGGTGTGTCTGACGGTTTCACCGTCGTAACGGGGGCCTGCGTTTTCAAGGTTTTGGGGAAATGCCGAAGGCGATCATGTCCCCCGTCGTCCTGCGCCTCCTCGTCGTCGTGATCCTCAATTCTCTCCTTCCTCTCATCGCAGAAGGATTCTCATTGACATCCACCACAGAGAGATTCCTATTGAAACCCTCCACAGAAGGATTCCGTTTGAAACTCTGCGCAGAAAGATTCTTATTGAAATCCTCCACAGAAGGATTCGTATTGTAATCGATCGCAGAAGAATTCTCATTGACATCACCACAGAGGGATTCCTATTACAACCCTACACAGAAGGATTCCTATTGAAACTCTCCACATAAGGATTCTTATTGACATCCACCACAGAGGGATTCCTATTGAAACCCTCCACAGAAGGATTCCCATTGGAACTCTCCACAGAAGGACTCTGATTGAAATCCTCCACAGAAGGATTCCTATTGAACCAAACAAATTAAAGGCAGATCGAAGAAAAACCAAACAAACACAAGGAAAAACCTAACAAAACAAAGAAACCAAAGACCGACGGCTGAAACCCCCCCCCAAAAAAAACACAAGGAAAAACAAACAAACCAAAACAACAAAGATTTTACTACTTACTCCACCTATCCTCCTCGTCCTGCCCCTCCCCCTCCCCCTCCTCCTCCTCCTCCTCCTCCTCCTCCTCCTCCTCCTCCTCCTCCTCCTCCTCCTCCCTCCTCCTCCTCCTCCTCCTCCTCCTCCTCCCCCCCCTCACCCCTCACCCTTCATTCCTCCTCCTCCGCCTCCTCCTCCTCCTCCCCCTCGCTCCTCCCCCCCTCTTTGCCCTGCTCCAGGGAGGGGGAGGAGATGGACGGGGGGGAGGAGGGAGCGGAATGGAGGAGTGGAATGGCGGAGGAGTGGGATGGAGGAGTGGAATGGGGGAGGAATCGAATGGGGAAGTGCCTCCTCCTCCCACCCCACCCGTCACCCCTCACCCGTCACTCCGGAGCAACCTTCTCCTCCTCCTCCACCCCCATGGAGCAGGGCAAGGAGGGGAGGAGGAGGGAGGGGGAGAAGGAGGAGGAGGGGGAGGACGAGGAGGACGAGGAGGAGAGGTGGAGTGAAATCTGTTTTTCCTTGTGTTTTTTTTTCTTCCTTGTGTTTATTTTTGTTGTTTCAACCGTCGGTGTTTGGTTTCTTTGTTTATTGTTTTTCCTTGTTGTTTGTTTTTCTGCGATCTGTCTTTGATTTCTTTGGTTCTTTTTGGTTCAATAGGAATCCTTCTGTGGAGGATTTCAATCAGAATCCTTCTGCGAAGAGTTTCAGTAGGAATCCTTCTGTGAAGGGTTTCAATGAGAATCCCTCTGTGGTGGATGTCAACAAGAATCCTTCTGTGGAGAGTTTCAATAGGAATCCTTCTGTGGAGGGTTTCAATAGGAATCCCTCTGTAGTGGATGTCAATGAGAATCCTTCTGCGATGAGAGGAAGAAGAGAATTGAGGATCACGACGACGAGGAGGCGCAGGACGACGGGGAATATGATCGCCCTCGTCAATTTCCTCCGCATTCCACTCCTCCATTCCGCTCCCTCCTCCCCCCCGTCCATCTCCTCCTGGAGCAGGGCAAGGAGGGGGGGAGGAGCGAGGGGGAGGAGGAGGAGGAGGAGGCGGAGGAGGAGGAATGAAGGGTGAGGGGTGAGGGGGGGGAGGAGGAGGGAGGAGGAGGAGGAGGAGGAGGGAGGAGGAGGAGAGGAGGAGGAGGAGGAAGGAGGAGGAGGAGGAGGAGGAGGAGGAGGAGGAGGAGAGGAGGAGGAGGAGGAGGGGGAGGGGCAGGACGAGGAGGAGAGGTGGAGTAAGTAGTGAAATCTGTTTTTTTTTGGTTTTGTTGTTTCTTCCTGGTGTTTTTGGGTTTCTCAGCCGTCGGTCTTTGGTTTCTTTGTTTTTTTTGGTTGTTCCTTCTGTTTTTTTGGTTTTTCTGCGATCGGCCTTTGATTTATTTGGTTCAATAGGAATCCTTCTGTGGAGGATTTCAATCAGAGTCCTTCTGTGGAGAGTTCCAATAGGAATCCTTCTGTGGAGGGTTTCAATAGGAATCCCTCTGTGGTGGATGTCAATAAGAATCCTTCTGTGGAGAGTTTCAATAGGAATCCTTCTGTGGAGGGTTTTAATAGGAATCCCTCTGTGGTGATGTCAATGAGAATTCTTCTGCGATCGATTACACTACGAATCCTTCTGTGGAGGATTTGAATACGAATCTTTATGCGAAGAGTTTCAAACGGAATCCTTCTGTGGAGGGTTTCAATAGGAATCCCTCTGTGGTGGATGTCAATGAGAATCCTTCCGCGATCGATTTCAATACGAATCCTTCTGTGGAGGATTTCAATAAGAATCCTTCTGTGGAAGATTTGGGCAGGAATCGTGGAGGCCGTTTGTATCCTTGGTCTCTCACACACACCCCGTCTGTCTCACTCATAATCTGCCTTTTAAAAAAACATTGAAAACGCAGGCCCCCGTTACGACGGTGGAACCCTGACGGACACCCTAATGCTGATTGGGCCCGCAGGGGTAGGGCCAGCAATCGGTGGCTGACAGAACTGCTAACCTTTGCGGCGCGCGCAAAAGGGGGGCGCCCTTCAAAGAAGGCAGGGGGGCTTCTTAGAAGGCATGGGCCTTCTTAGGAGCGCCAGGAGGCTTCTGGAAGGACCCCCTCGCGCCACCCCCTTGTTCGAGCCGCCGATCTCGTCATCGCATCCGGGGGCCTTCCCAGAGACCAGTTCTTCATGCTGAGCCGGTTTAGAATGTCCTGAGGCCCGTGGAGGGTCCCGAAATACCAGAGCTGGCGAGACACCGCGCGACCCATTTCCCTCAGGACACGCTTCTTTCATGCCGAGCAATTGTTTGCTGAATTCCTCTATTCATCACATCCTGGACTCCCCCGACAGCGCAACGGACCAGCTTAGGGGGTACATCGACCTGGGATCGACGATGCATCGAATTCGCGCGTTCCTGGGCGGGGTGGGGCTATCGGGCCCCTGGACGATGAATGGTGATTGGGGGTCGATGCGCCCCCCCCTGAACCCATCCCTCCCTCCCAACGTAGCCCCTGCGCTCTCCTCGTCACATCCTTGGGGAAACCAAAGGCGCCGATACCGCTGCTCCCAGGACCTCTCCCAGGGTGCGCTCTGACCAGAATTTCGAAGCGAATCCAGCGGTCTCCCAAGAGGCCCCCACAAAGGAACACGCGAGAAACATAGCGGTATGGGTACCCTTTCCTCCCCTGAATCCTGGACCCCCCTCTCCGCGGGCGCGAGGGGTCCCTGGAGCGCCTTCAGGTCCCGCGCGAGCCTCTCGGCACCCTTCTGGTACACCTCCCAGTGGTCCCGCATGTGCCGCGCGCTCTCGAGGATCATGAAGCCGAAGCAGGACAGCAGCCCGAGCATGCCCAGCGTGGCCGTGAGCACTGGTGGCGCATTTGCCGGGGATTGGCAGAACACTCGGCGGCGCGCACACAGAGGTAAGGGGGAGGGGGGAAGGCGTCTTCGAAGGAGGCTTCTCCTCAGAAGGCGCCGGCCCCGCATCTACAGACAAGGCCCGCGCCTTCTAAGAGGCAGGGATGCTTCTAAGAAGCCTCCCCCCTGCCCCTATCCCCCTCTGCGCGTGGCTGACACTGGTGGCGCATGTGCCGAAGATTGGCAAAACACCCTTTAGCAAAGGTGGTGACAGCTGCCTGGGGCACTCCGCCTGCGCACGGCGCCGCATTCCGAGTGGACCCCACCGCGGAAGCGGATCGACGTCCAACAACAGCCGCATGCATCCGGCGAAACGCACGCCGATAAGCAACACCGACTGGGGACTGCACAAGTGCACTAGAATGCCGATGTCGAATCGGCTTGTCTGGAGGGGCGGCGTTCTCCCAATGCTAAATTCCACCCGCCCTCTGGGCGCAGGTGGTCTAGGGAGGCTCCTCTTCCAAACCCCCTTCTTCCCCTTCGGGGAGGGGTTGATCCCTCCCCTTACCCTGGACATGGACGGGGGGGGGGTCGCGAGCGGTCAGAGCATCTTAGATGACCCAGGGCGGCTCCAAGAGGGCTTCGGAGAGCCCAAGATGACCTTCCAAATGGCACAAGATAGCCCAATATGCCTCAAGATGGCTCCCACGATGTTCAAAGAGGCCCCGAGACCGTTCCAAGATGGTTCCAAGTGGCCACGGAGCGTCTCACGCAGGCCGCCAAGAGGCCAACACTCTTTAAACCTGAGGGAAAAATCAATGACTGTTGCCTTCTTGCCTCTTTGCTTTCGATGCCCTTCCGAGGCCTCATGACAGCTCCAAGAGAGCTCCAGAGAGCCCCAAGAGAGGCCTGAGAGAGCCCCGAGACGGCCAAAGAACGTCCAAGACGGCCCCAAGAACGCTCCAAAAAGGGTCCCAGAGACGATTTTAGGCACTGTAGAAGGGCAGGGCTAAGTGGAGCTCCTCCCTTCTTTAACCGATGTCCTCCAAGATTTCTCCAAGAGCGTCCCCAAGCATCCCAAGAGCGCCCCAAGAGAGGGCCCAAAGAGGCCCCCAAGAGGCTCCCGAGAAGAGGCTCTCCGAGGTACGCAAGAGGCCCCCGGGACCGCCAAGAGGCCCCCAAGACGCCCCCAAGACGCCCCCAAGAACCCCCCAAGCTCGCCATTGTCCTCCTCCTCCTCCTCCTCCTCCTTATCCCCCTCGTCATTTTTCCCCGCCTTTCCTCATTCGGCAGGTCCGCGAGGCGCATACGGTGCGCTCCTGGGTCTGCGCAGGCTGATCCAAGACTTTAGTTCGACGGCTTCCCCAGCTCTTGATCCACTGCATGCTTCTCCGTTTCCCTGATCAACGCAATTCGCCTGGGTAGCGCTCGTGGATGGGCTGGTGGGGGTACTTTTGGGTACGCAGGCGCACGAAACGAGTCGGACGCCGGTCAAGCAGGGGCAGGCTATGCCACCTGCGACGGACAAAAAGCAGGGCATCGCTGGTGAGGATACTTTTTTTTTATCCGCGAGCGACACGGCACAACCACGCGCCGTCCAGAGCGAAGCAGCAGCGCTACGATCTAAATTAGGCACCAAGCGCGCAGGAGCGAGCTACGCTGCGACTCGGTAGGCGGAGAAGACGCTGAAGATCAGGCCCACGTGGCACGCCATGCCGTCAAAGAACACCAGGACATGCACCCGGTCCGCGTGCAGCGCCAAACTGGCGAAGTAATTCGAGCCCCGGTACACTGGTGGGGATACGCGAAGCGTCTACGAATTTTGAAAACAACGTCAATGATGCATTCCTCAATCACTGGCAGTGACTTGTTTCCGATTTAGGAGTTTTTTCCTTCGTTTCGGCCTCTTTGGAACAGCTGGGGTGGAAAGCTGCTCCCAGGAAAGGGGTCCAGAGCTCTGTAGCAGCGGATCGGATGCATTTTCTGGCCCTCCATCAAACGCCACTTGTGGTGAGCGCCTCGTTGGAGCGTTACGCTACGTCGCCCACAACCCACCACTTGCGATGAGGCAATTGTTTCTCCAACCGGCTGGCCGCGACCGCCAACGGGGCAACCATTGCGCATGAACTGGCATGTGTGCACCCATGGGCGGAATAAGCTGCACACAATCACTGCCGCAGAAGAGGGCAGTACGGAGCCGACTGAAGCCTAGCGGGGAGGAGGGGGCAGGGGGGACAAGGAGCAGGAGGATGAGGGAGAAGGATGATGATAGTGGTGGACGGGAGGATGAGGGATGGTGGTGGTGGAAGCGATGGACATGAACATACTGATGACGACAACGATGACGGCAAAGATGGCTGTCAAAGGACGGGGGAAGCATGATGTATGAGTAGGGTTCTCCTTCTGTTCCTCTTCCTCCTTCTCCTCCGCCACCTGTCTCCTCCTCCTCCTCCTCCTCCTCCTCCTCCTCCTCCTCCTCCTCTCCCTCCTCCAGGAAGAGGAGGAGGAAAAAGAGGAGGAGGAGGGCGGCGGAGGAGGAGGAAAGGAGGAGGAGGAGGCGGATGAGGCGGAGGGATTGTTGGGGGGGGGGGGCGCCGGCGATAGCCGCCTGCGAGCCCCCGCGCGGCAGCGCGGCGCCAGCGGGACTTGCTCAGCGCGTCGTCCTCGCCGTCGACGTCCTGTGGTCGGCCGGCGGCCCACGGGTGACTGACTCATGGCCACCCTGCGGGCCACAACATGGAGAGGAGAAGGAGGAGGAGGGAAGGAGGAGGAGGAGGGAAGGAGGAGGAGGAGGGAAGGAGGACAGGGAGAGGACGGCATGGAGAGGAGGATGAGGATGAGGAGGAGAGGGTGACGGGGAGAGGAGGAGGGCAGGGAGAGGAGGAGGATCAACAAGTTACATGAGGTGTTCCTGCGCGGTGCGTCCTGACCCTGCGCCGAGGGCTAAAACCGAGCACTGCAACGAAGGAGTCGACAGCCACCGCACGCCGTCACGTGGGCGGGTCGGCCCTGAAAGTCATTCACATCCGCCCACGCCGCCCAGACCTCCTTAAGGCCAGGCCCTGTTCCCAGGGGGGAGCTGGGCGGCGGCCGTCGCACAGCTTCGGAGAACATTGCCGGAGGCGTGTTATGGGGGTAGGCGGGGGCCTGGGGCCAGCGCGAGCAATCCTGTGGAGATGGGAAGCAACTACCATATTTCTCCTCCTCCGCTCGTTCCGGGTCGTGCTCCCTTTGCAGCGCTGGCCTCATTTCCGCGCTTCCGCTCTTTTCGAATCGTGCTCCCGCTGCAGCGCTGGCGTCATTATTTCCAGCGCCATGTCACGGCATGGTTTTCGGTCCTTCCAAATCGGAGCCCCAACATCTAAAATTTTCCTTCCTGAATAAACAATCGGAAGTGATTCCACATTCGGTGTCGATTCGTTGTTTCTTTGGGCCGCAGAAGCCCCCCCACTCTCGGGGCTACGTTTCCTTATCTCCACGTTTCCGCGCTGAGATTTTGTTCAAAATGCTGCTCTCGCTGACGCGCCGGCCTCATTGTTGGGCTACGCTCGTTCCGAGTCGTGCTCCCTTTGCAGCGCTGGCCTCATTTCCGCGCTTCCGCTCTTTTCGAATCGTGCTCCCGCTGCAGCGCTGGCGTCATTACTTCCAGCGCCATGCCACGGCATAGTTTTCGGTCCTTCCAAATCTGCCCCAAAATCTAAAGAAATCCTCCCCGAAGAAACAATCGGAAGTGATTCCACATTCGGTGTCGATTCGTTGTTTCTTTGGGCCGCAGAAGCCCCCCCACCTTGGGGCGTCGCCACGCCATGCTATGTCAGGCTACGCGTTGATCTTCGACACCATGCTATGCCATGTAATGCCATGCCATGCTGCGACATCCGATTCTGCGAATAGAAAGGAGATCTGCGCCATGGCAAGGGATGGGAGGGAGGGGTGGGACGTCAGCTATGACGCGAGCGCACCTAGCTCGTCTTCCTCCCCCTCCCCCTCCCCCTCCCCCTCCTCGTCCTCATCCTCGTCCTCCTCGCCACGAGAGCCAAGAGAGCCCGGAGAGGGCCCGAAGACGGCCCAAGCTGCCAAGCACAGCCCACGAGACTCCCAAGATGGCTCAAGAGCCTCTCCAGACAGAGGACCCTTAGACAGCTCGATGAGGCAAGCAACATTGATGTTCCATAGGCTTTCCATTGTTTTTTGGGTGTTCGCTTTTTGTGGCCCAGATCGGGTGAAGATAACTCCGAGAGCCCCCGCGGCTGCCGCAAGACGGCCGTGGAGGCTCTCAAGAGGGCCCCGAGACGGCCTAAGAGACCCCCCAGGATAGCCACAGAGAGTGCCAATAGGGCTTGAAGAGGGCCCCAAGACGGACACAGAGGACCCCACCTTGGATCGCCAAATGACGGACGCAACTTTGACGCCAAGACTTCCAAGAGCATCAGGTGACGGGAAAGCCCTTTGCACACGTGTCGGTGGCATAAACATCTTTTAGCGCCAAGGGTCCCAAGAGTGAGCAGTGGGCCAGGGAATTCAGAATGCCCAAACTCTCAGGAGCGAGCGGTGACGTGAACATATTTTACCGCCAAAGCTCCCAAGAGCTGATGGTTACGTAAACAACGCTTGCTTCCAACGCTCCCACGAGTGAGCGGTGACGTACACGACTCTTGGCACCGAGGCTCCTAAAAGAGCGAACACGGTGACGTAGCAAGCCCTGAACGCCGAGGCCAGAACGAGCGATGACGTGAACCGTTGATGACGCCAAGGCGCCCAAGACTCAACGACTACGTACACAACTCTTCGCACCAAGGTCTCCCAAGAGCGACCGTTGACGCGAACAAACACACTTAACGCCGAGGCCCCCGAGAGCGAGCGAGGCTATTACCGTGAGCCTTTCTCGGGCGAAGTCTTGCAGTGCTCTTTCCGTTCCCGTGCCAGGCCCGGGTGGCGGAACGAGCGGGGTCCGAGTGGTGACTTTCTGGCGAGGCGAACCCCACTAAGGAAGGGTCCAAAAGAAAAACGCAAGTTTGGACGCCCGAAATGTGTACGGAAAAATGGGTACACTGCCCAACACCAAATGTTGTCCAAAACCCACAGCGGCCGCTGTTGGACAAGCGGCTTTTTGTCGTCAATGAACAACGTCCGCGGGCGGCGCGGACAGCGAGTCGTGTTCAACATGAGCAGGGACTGCCGTCGGTCTTTATATCACTTCTTTCCATATCGATCGTCCCGAGTAGGGGGCTCAAACTGATCTTAACACGCGCGCCTGGCCCCAAGACGCTCTCGTCGAGTGTGAAGCTGACGCATGTGCCCAAATCAGCCATAGCGCGACGGGCGTGGTCCAGAGTGTCGTGTCGCCACGCTGCGAGGCGCTCTCGTCGGAGCGCGTGTGAAGTGCCTGCACGCGGCAAGCCGAGACGACTACGGACGCACGCCTTGTCACATGAGATCCTGGCCTCAAACTGTCCGATGGTCGGGCCCGCCGCGCGGAGGAAGAGGAAAAGACGGAGGAGGAGGAGGAGAGGACACACACACACACACACAAGCACAAACACTAACGCCAACGTTAACACTAAGACTAACACCACACATAGCATTCACACTAACACTAGCACTAGCACAAGCACTAACACTAGCGCTAACACTAATACACACACACACACGCGCGCACACGCGCACACACAATTCCAGCAACAGACTGCCGAGGCGCCTGAGGAGGAGCGAAGGGGGAGGCGGAGGAGGAGGAGGAGGAAGTGGAGAGGTGGAGGAGGGCATGAGTAGGAGTTGGAGCGGTCAAAACGAGCTCGGAGGTGGCAGGCCAGGAGGGTGTGCTGATTTTTCCTCATCAAGCGCTCCAGCGATCGCCAAACCAACATCGCCTTGAAGTGTGTTATCAACGCACTGGCGGAGAGGTCAGAATATTCAAATCCAAACCGCATGCCCTGGAAAGAGCTTCTCTAGGCACACACCGTAACAGTCTGGAGAGCCACGGCGTGCCAATCAAGCAGAAACCGATTCGCTCAAAACGTTCTTCCTGGGTCCGCCGTGGGACCATAAGAAAGCTCAGGCAGGGGGGGAGGGAGGGAGGGAGGAGGAGGAGGAGGAGGAGGAGGAGGAGGAGGAGGAGGAGGAGGACCAATATAAACCCAAGACCCAACAACGATGTTGGGATGTACCCTCCCTCCAACATTATTCCTCATAGGCCCCATGCAACTATTCACTTGCACTGGCGGAAATACCCCGTCGGGAGACAACCGTGTGAAAATCCGCAAACGTGCCAAAACACCATTATCCCGCCTTTAACGCCACGGATCAGTCTGACTGTTGCATCTTGACGATCCTGAATCCTGCCAGAACAATAGTCCTGGGAACTCAACACCGCGAATCAATGTAACTGTTACGCCCTGACAATACACAATCGTTCGGAAACGCCAGGTCTGGAAGGTGAACCATGAGAATCCATCAAGCTTTCGCACAACGTTTGAAACACATGTGCGCGGCGCTAAAGCCAGAGGCACACTTCGAAAACGAGCCGCCCTCAATCCGCGAAACTCTTGCACACTGTTAAAGCTGATGGGCGCGGCGCTAACGCCAGAACCACAATATGAAAACGAGCCGCACTCAGTCCGCGAAGCCCTTGCAAATTCTGAAAACGAGCAAGCGTGACGCTGAGACAATAACCACATTTTGAAAACGAACCGCCCTCGAACCGTGAAGTTCTCGCAAAAGTTGAAGACGAGTGTGCGCGACGCTGAGGCGAGAGCCACTGTGGAAGCGGCCTGCCTCCATCTGTGAAGCTATTGCCAGTTTTTCCCGCTTCAGTCCTATAAATGGTGCATAAGTCGCAAGCAACACGAACGGCCCGCCGTTCAGACTGGCCTCGGGGAGCGACAGGGAGGAGTTGTTCACAAGGAACATATGGAGGAGGAAGAAGAAGAGGCGGAGGAGGAAGAGGAGGAGGAGGGAAAACGACCACATACGAAAAGCCCGGGGGAGGTGATGCTATCGCCGTCTTCTGCCAGGCGCGTATGCTCACTTCTTCTTGTCGAACATCGCAGCCTGTAGCCTCGCCGCAGCCTTCTTCACATCACCAGTAGCGTCGAGCTTCTCCTTTTTGCTTGTCGCCTTCTCGAGCTTCGCGGTGGCCTCCTCCATCTCCTTCTTGGCGGCCTCCGCGTCGATCGTGTCCACGGTCTCGAAGTCGTTCACCAGGATGGAGAGGGAGTTCGAGTCCACGGAGGCGAAGCCGCCCATGACGACCAGCGGCATCCACTTGCCGTTCTGCTTGTAGCGGATCACGCCCGTGTCCAGGGCGGTCATCATCGGGGCGTGGTTGGCGAGGACGCCCAGCTGGCCGCTGGCGCTGGGGAGCACCACCTCGCTCACGGCCAGGTCGATGCCCGCGCCCTCGGGGGACTGAAGCTTCATCTTGATCCTGTCTGTCGCCACTGCTGCCTCAGAGAGGCAAGACACGCTACAGGCCTGAACTTCCGTAGCTCCGCGCGCGGATTTCTTGGGTCAGCGCTGTGCCCCCCCCCTCCCGGGCGTGGGGGGCGCGCCAGGGGCGGCGCTGGAGGCGCCGCCAGGGAGGCCCAGTCGCCGACCCGACAAATGCGTGCGGAGCTCCGAAAGTTTTATTTTTGCGGCTGTTCCCCCTTCGAGGTCTTGGGCTTCCACATGTGGACCCGACCCCTGCGGGTCAGACTTCTGAAAGGCGGGCTGGGGTTCAGAAGTCGATGACTGCCGGCAGCCAGGTGGATCTCATCGGAGGCGCCCGATACCCAAGCGTCGGCTGGACCCGCAGGAGTGCAGTCGGACCTAGGCCAGAAGAACATCTCTCAAGAACACGATACCATCCGTCGGCCACAACAAACATGTTATCTAAGGGTACCCTCCCCAGCATGCACAAACCCATCCTACAGACACGAATAACACTAAGGCATTCCTCCCCGAACCGACCTCGATCGTATATCTCGGTCCGACTGGAAGGTTCACAAGTGGTCGCAGAGATCTGTCGCCGCTGCCGCCTTGTCCTCGGCGAGGCGGGTCACCGGGCTGCGGAATGCCTTTTTGGACGCCCGAAATGCGTACGAAGAACATGGGTACGATGCCCAACAACAAGTGTTGTTAAAAAGCGACAGCGGCCACCGTTGGGGAGGCGGCCTTCTTGTCTCCAGAGAACAACGTTCGCGGTGGCGCGAACAGCGAGCCCTGTGCGAAATGCGCAGGAACTGCAATTGGGCATCTGGAGGCCTCCATAGGTCCGAGTAGATGGGGCCAGAGGATCGCGCCGCACCGCCAATGCATCGCCGACGTCCCGTGGAGAAAATCGGGCTCCGCATCGAGCCGCATCGCCGATGCTAAGGCGATGCGGCGCGATGATCCGACCCCATCTACTCCGACCCCGTCCAGGAGGCCTGGATCCCTTGGAGCAACATCGTCAATCCCCCAACGAGGACCGTAGCACCAACGCGTCGCTGGAGCGTGCTCGAGCGGGCCTGCCCGGGCCCCGGACCCTCCGCTCTCCCCCCCCCCTCCTAGTGCCTCCGGGACCCGCTTTTTTGTCTTCAAAGATCAACGTCCTGTGCAAAATGAATAGGAACCCCTGAGATCCCAGGTGGCGAACAAAACTGCAACATCGTAAACACTCACTTTCGGAGCCCATCCTTCTGCGCCATTTTGCGAGCCGGATCGATCTGAGAGGGCCCCGGGGCCTGACAAGGAAGGCGAGAACGCCCGGCTCGAAAAAATTGCGACGACAGGATCTCAGGGGGAACTGTTGTTGGGCATCGTACCCATGCTTCCCAGACCCCTGACGTCATGATTTTTTCATAACGTCGACCCTCAGAGGTCTCGACACCTTCCCCTGGACCGGCTTTTCATCCCGAGTCGTTTTCTGACGCTCCCGAGGCCCAGTGAGGGCCCCCCGAGGCCGAACATGGCGAAAAACCTCCCGTCATGATTTTCTCATTGCCCGAGGGGGTCTGGGTCTCCGTGCCCCTTTCCAGCGCCCCGGGGCCCTGGCCGGCCGCCCCCCCGATGAGCCCACGAAGGCGGGCAGGCGGCGGGCGAGCAGGGCCGCCGCGGCGAGCGCCAGGAGCCGGCACGCGGCCTGCGACCTCGCCATCTCTTTTATGCCTCTCGGGTCGGCAGCGAGAGAGGGGGGGTAGGTCCTCCTCCTCCTCCTCCTCCTCCTCCTCCTCCTCAACTCCTCCCCTCCTCCTCCTCCTCCTCCTCCTCCTCCTCCCTCCTCCTCCCCCTACTCCTCCTCGTCCTCGTCCTCCTCCTCCCTCCTCCTCCTCCTCCTCCTCCTCCTGCTACTCCTCTTCCTCCTCCTCCTCTCGCCTCCTTCTCCTCTCCTCCTAGTACTCCTCCTCTCCCCCTCCTCCTCCCCTCCTCTTCCCCTCCCTCCTCCTCCTCCTCCTCCTCCTCCTCCTCCTCCTCCTCCTCCTCCTCCTCCTCCTCCTCCTCCTCCTCCTCCTCCTCCTCCCCCTACTCCTCCTCGTCCTCCTCCTCCTCCTCCTTTCGGCGGCGAGCGAGGGGGGGGGGAAAGTGAGGAGGAGAAGGCCTTCTCCCCTGAGATCCTGGCGACTCATTTTTTTCGAGCCGGGCGTTTTCGCTCCATTTCGGGCCCTGGGACCCTCGCAGATCGATCCAGCTCGAAAGATGACGCAGGAAGAGGGGGTCTGGGGGTCTGGCTGTGATTCTCTGCGATGTTGCATTTCGTCTTGCAGCGTCGGACCTCAGGGTCAGAAGACGGCGGGGCTTCACAGAATCCCTCGGACCTTCTGAGAAGTCGTGGGCGTCGTCGCACAAAATTTGGACGCCCGAAATGGGCACGGAAAGAATGGGCACAATGCCCAACAACAAATGTTGTCCCAAATCAACAGCAGCCGCTGTTGGGCAGGCGGCCTTCTGTCTCAAATGGCCACAGGCCGC